GCATCTCAGGCTCCGGGAAGGAGATGGGGACTGGGTGCTGTTCCTAAACTAGGACGGAGCCTGCTGTGCCTTCAGGGGAGGTCTGGGGCATCCCACGGAGTAGACAGGAGGGCGCCGTGGTGTCCTGCCAGGCCCGACTGCAGACCCCTGGAGGACAGCTAGCAGAACGGGACAGGATGGGGCACCAGGACACGTCACCGCCACGCTCACCGCTGCCAGGAAGGTGCTTTTACAAATGTTGTTTGTTTTTTTCCTGCCAGCAAGTATGTGTATGACAGAGAGGAGAGAGGTCACCTTGACAAGGTCTCTTGCTGCCCGCCCCAGCCCCCACCCAGCTCCTGGGTGTGGTGTGCTGTCAGACCAGACCTGCCGGCAGGAGGAGGGTCAGCAGGCCACGCTCAGGCCAGGCCCCGGGGCTGGGGGTGGCTCCTCCTCCGCGCTGCTTTGCCTCTGGATCAGCCACCCTGACTGGCTTGGCCCCGCTGCTTAGGAAAACGGCCTCTGAGCTCCCGAGTAAGCCTTTTCCCTCCCTAACCTGTCTGGTGGGAGCAAGGAGCCTGGGGTGGGGGCACAGGACTTGCCCGGCTCCTGGCCACCCAGGCTCTGAGGCTGTGAGCAGAGTCCCGGGCTCCAGGCTGCTGCTCCGGCACTTGGCGCTCTCCTCAGTCCTGGCCTGGGGTGGTCAGACCTGAGGCCCCATGCCCTCCGCACGCTGTGACCACCCGGGCTGAGGCCCCTTTCTGGGTGACACGTCTGCACCCCCAGTGAGCCTCTTGGAAACAAATCACCTGACTGAGAGGAGGGTCCTTTCTCTCCTCCTACAGGCAGGATGGGAGACGCCGCTCGCTGCTCGTGGACAGGCAGCCAGCTGGCTCTGTCCTCTGGTCCTGCCCCCCACTCCCCAGATGGGAGGAGAGAGGGGAGAGGGACAGCGAAGTGGGGGGGGGTGCCGGAAGGAAAATGGAGGTGCTCGGTAAAGCAGCGTCCTCCTCCCGGAGCCGGGGCGGGAGCCACTGACCACAGGCGCCTGTTTCCCACCGAGACGTGGGCACTGCCAGGCGGGAGAGCTGCCCGGGCGCCCCGAGCGCCTGTGCGTGTGCGCCTGTGTGCTGCCGCTGTCACACCAGA